ATCTCTGTTCTAGCCGTCCCTCTTCAGCTGCCTTGTCTCCCGCGGCTTGTGTGTGCGCCTTCGCCCATGCGGGCGAGGAGCGTCTTGCGGCCGTGGGTGCTGACGCTACGAGCGCCTGGAGCGCTCGGCAGTCTGCACGAGTGATGAGGGGAGGCTCCGGATGTTTTTTTTTTGTTCTGCAAGCGATGCTCACGGGGCTGCACAGACACAATATTAGCGCCGTCTGTCGCGCGCGGGATGGGAATATTTGCCCCGGCCGCTGGGCCAAAGGGAGCGGGGCTGGACAGGCTCGCAGGGAGGAATCTGAAGCAGAGGCCAAGGAGTAGGAGGAGGAGGAGGAGGAAGAGAAGGAGGAGGGGGAGGAGCTTGTCTGGAAACGAAAATCCGCCCGGATTGAAAACGAAAACCGCCCTGCAGCAAGCATGGTACTATATGTTCCAGCCGCGAGCGCGAGCGGCAGGCCCTCACTTGTTGATGTAGTCCTTGCCCTTGAGGTTGTAATTCTCCGTCTGCCCGGTCTCAACCTCCATGCCCACGAACTTGCCGGTGACCACCGGCTTGGCGTCCGGATTGGTGGTGGTGCCGTAGGGCGTGTTGTACTTGAGCATGGCGTTCTTCAGCACGGCGCCGTAGAAGACGATGCCGAACGCGCACATGCCCCAGTACAGAGGGCTGATGCCGTAGAAGACGTCGAAGTACTCCTTGCCGTTGTACGTGAACGCGCTGGCGGCCTCGGGCGCGGCGGCCGCGACGAGGCCCGCGGCCGCCGGCGCCCCGCCGCGCAGGGCGCGGAGGCCCTGCGGCGCGGGCGCGAAGGCGCGGGCGCAGCGGCAGGCGGCGCAGGCCAGGGCCGCGAGCACGCAGGCGGTGGCGAGGGCGGAGCGGGCCATCTCTCTCGGCAGGCAGGCGGGCAGCTTCGTGGCAGAGCGGCGCGTGAGATTAGAGGTCCTTGAGCCAAAATGGTTACGGAGGGGGAGGCTCCGGATGTTGGGTGGGAGAGCTGCGTCCGTTTTTGGTGCAAGGGGGGAGGAGGAGCAAGAAAGAAGAAGGGGCACGGCCCTTGCGGTTTGTCTTGGCTTCCGAGGCCCAGGTGGTTGTCATTGCTCCGCGGCCGCCTCCTCCATGCCTTGCCCTGAGATGGAACTCCCCATCGCCGGACCACCAACGTCTCAATAGGGCGGGGTGGACGCTATAGTTGATACGTCTCCGCTGATCCTAAAACTATCAAGTTCCAAACGATTTGCGAATGGTGGGCGCGCCATTGTCACAGTGTGGCTCTGGCTCCAAAGCCAAACCCAATCGCCTTATCCGCCACCGTGCCGTATGAGTGAAGTGCCCTCAAGTCCCTTCGATCGACTTCCTCTGTTTGGCTATTGCAAGCGCTCTGCGAAACTACAGACACCGAGATCCCGATTCTCGGGTGCTCCCAGGGCTCACCGCGTGACTTGTCCCGATGCCCTGGGAGCGCCGTGGCGGGCCCAAACTCCGAATCTGCCTCACGATGGCGCAACGAGCCCGTCCTGGGGCTCTCTTGGGGGCCTCTTTCGGGAGCGGCCGAGAGGGGGGTGTCAAAGAGGGGGGGGTGCAAATCATGACCGGCGGCATGTGCGCGGCCCAGCGGGGGGACCAGGGACGTACTGAAATAAGAAGAGGCGCCACGAAATCTGGGGAGATATCATGGCCCCCGCCATGATATCCACCCCCCCCTAATCATCACCCCCCTCTTTCCTGCCCCCGACTCTTGAGCCGTGTTGGGGGCCTTGGTGGCCGGTCCATGGCTCCCAAGACCGTTGAGCAACATCATGTTGTGTGTGTGTCTTTCCGCGCCATATCATTGTCGGTCTCAAGGCGTCCATGACGGCCCAGGAGTCACCCAATATCACCCCACGGCGGCCCACCAGGCCCCCACGCGTGCCCAATAATAAGATCGGGAAGCCGAACTGACATGCCGAGCCATTTCCCCCAAGATGCCCCCCGAGATTGCCAGCGAGCTCACAAGAGACTCCAAGACGAGCCCCAGAGCCCCATTCAACCCAGAAGATACCCCCAAGAAGCTTCCAATGGGCCCCCAAAAGTCCTCCCAAGAGACCCCCCAGAAGACTGCCAGGGGCCTCATGTCCACGACACGGGCACAGTGGCGGGATGGGCCGAAGGCCACGAGATGAGTGTCCAAAGGCGGTCCGTTTCCAGACTGTGGATCTCGCTTGTGCTGCGAACGGTCGCCTTACACGCTTCCAACTGTTTCCCCAACAGAGCCGGGCATGTTTTAAAGGTTGCAATCGCCGTAGCGCCGCGCATATTCGCCTTACACGATGTACAGCATGCGCACGGGTGAAGGCGCTGCCTTTGCCACATTGGGTCGTCACTTGGGACACCTGCTGACTATGTGGCAAGACTGGAACGTTATTTGAATTGCGCGGCCGCTACACGCATGACACGGTGGCAGGCGTTCAAAGTTGGCGCTCGCTAGGCACAATAATTTAGTGTCATAAATTCATGTTGGTTCTTGGCATGTCTTATTGCCACAAGAAGGAATGACAGTCAGTATTCTCGCCAAAACAGCAAGCCATGCGGCACTCGTCTTTCAAGAAGCCACTCCACGCAATGAGATTGGGAGCTTGCGGGGAGTTGTCAGGAGGCGACTCGGAACATGAGGGTGTATTGCAGCATAGTTGACGCATCCTGAGATCACTCTGGTCGTCGTGCTCCACCTCCTCCTCCTCCGCCCCTCCATGCCATCCACCGCCTCCTCTGCCTTTTCATCCGACTCATCTATTTCATCTCCGTCCTCATGTCCCTCCCCATCCCACCCTTCCCCCTCCATCTCCGCCTCCTCTTTCTTCCTCTCCTCCTCCGGCCGGAGTGGCGGCAGCAGCACCACCAGTAGCAGTGGCAATTGTAGCAGCAGCATGGGCAGCAGGAGCAGCGGCAAAATCATGACTCACTGCCCCAGCAGCAGACGTGACAACAGCATTGCTATCCAGCGTCGTCACCCGCGGGGGCAACCTCATGTGGTGACTGAACCAACTGTGTGGCGCCCGTGCTCGTTCCCTTCAGCAGGCGGGGCTCCCGACCCCTCGTCCCCATTCTTTCCTCTGAGTCTCGCGCCGCGGACCATGAACAGATCTCCAGAGGCCGATGCTTAGAGAGCCAGGCCGCCCTGACTGAGTTCCATTGCTTCTTCAGGGAGCCAGCTGTCCGGTCAGTGATCATCGCCGACGTCCGGTGGGAATCCGCTCAGCATCAATCCGTGGATCCCTTCATGGGCCTATCCAAGCAAAGTTTTCGAGCAGCGTGCGGCCGCGGCGAAGACGGCCTCCAGAGTCGACTGCGGATGCGCCGCGAAACCTCCGAAACGGCGATGTCGCCGTCGTCGTCGCCGTCGACGCTGCGCCCTCAGCCAGTCCACTGATGCGAAGCACTTGTAGCATTTCTCGTCTGACTCGGCGAGCTTGCTTCCCTGGCGGCCGGCGTGGGGGCCGTGCTTCAACTGGGGAGGGTCGGGGATGAGGGGATGGGAGTGGATGAAGGGAGGGAGGGAGCGCGAGGAGAGGGGGGTCCGATGGGGAGAGGGATGACGCGGAGACGGGGAGCAGGGAGGAGGGAGGGGACGGGGAGGAGGACGTGGAGGGAGAGGGGGAAGCAAACACAGGGAGGGGGGGGAAGCAGCGGCGGCAGCAGCAGGCGCAGAAGAGGGCGAGGCACGCAGCAGGCGCAGAAGTGGCGGCGCCACGGGGCGCCGCTGCGGGGCGCGCGCGCTCGCGCGCCTTCTTGTCCCTGATGGTGAACCAGCCCTGAGCCTGCCGCCGGCACGGGGGCCACCCCCTGCCGCCGCTGCGACCGCTGTCGTCGCCGTCGCCGTCGTCGTCGCCACCGCCACGGCAGCCGCCGTCGTCGTCGTCGTCGTCGTTGCTCCTGCTCCTTCTCCTGCTCCTTCCCCTCCACCTCCGTCCTTCTGCATCCTCCCGCCTCATCGTCCACCGCCGCCTCCTCGCCCTTCTCCCTCCCTCCCACTTCCACCCTGGCCCGTATTCTCTCTCCTCGTCGTCCTGCACTTCCGCCCAGGAGAAGGGGACAGGAGTCCGCGGGGCTACATTTTCCGCCCCAGAGCAGACCAGGGCCAGAATGCCGCCCAGGGAACAGAATGCCAGCCCCAAGTTGGAACACATAGGGCCCCAACCCCAACTCTGTTGAGATAAACTTGTGGAATGCCCTGACTCTGGGGGCCCTTGCCTGGCCCTGGACCGTCAAACGACGACTTGGGGCGAAACGCTGGTCCGTGGACAAAGGAGTGGAGGCCCGCAGGGCCCCACGTTGTGAACAAAATCGCAGCGTCGCACGCCAAGGGGGGGAGGAGCGAGGGAGGGGGGGAGGGTGCAGGGGGGGGGGGAGTGGAGTGGGGGGGCCGAAGGCGGACGAGGGGAGGAGGAGGGTAGGAGAGGATGAACTTGTACGCTGGCGCTGCCCTCCCCTGCCTGCCCCACCGCGTCCCCTATCCCCCCCACTCCCCAGGGCCGAAGCGGACGGGGAGGAGGACAAGGAAGGGGGGGAGAGGAGGGAGAGGGAGAGGAGGGCAAGAGGGAGGGAGGAGGCCGACCCTCCTCCTCGCCCCTCACCCTGGCTCACTCCTCCCCCTCCCCCCCATGGGCACAGTCAAAGGTTCCCAGTGGGTTGAAGGACGGCTGCTGGCCTGGTCGACCACCTTTGTCCTGGAGCGAACGATGCCCCGCGGAGCGACAGCAAAGAAGAGGGCCTCTCCCCCCTCTGCGTCCACTGTCGAAGGGGCCCCAGGACACACAAATACATACATACAAATAAAAATATTCCCCATATTTTCCTACATTTTCTGGGTTTCTGTCTTCCCCACCACTTCCCATATTTTCCCATATTTTCCTGGGGGTCGACGATTCATTGTGTCTGTGTGTTTTTTCTCCTCCTGAACTCTGCCCTCCCTCCCCCCAGCCCTCCTCGCCACCGCCGCCGCCACCGCGCGCACGCCTTTACCCGTCCCTGGGGCCAACGGCACCCGCCTGCCGCGGGGGGGGGCCCCGCCCGCGCGCGATCGGCAGGCCGTCGACGGGCGCGCGCGCGCGCGTGCGCGCGAGCGACGCGGGGCTGGAGCGGGGCCCGCGGGGGACGGGACGAGGACACGCACCGGGCGTGTGCACACACGCCGCCGTGCCTGGCTGGGGCCGTCGTGGGCCCCGCCACCGGGGGCCCAGGAGCGGCCCCGGCCGGGCACGGCGGTGGCGCGCGAGCGCCTCCCGAGGACGAGTGAGGAGGGGGAAAGGGCTCGAGGATCGAGGGTGGAGGCCAGATGATCGGAGGTATATCTGGCGTTTGGGCAGTTTTGGGGGCCCTGCGACGCCCCCAGAGATCTTCAGGTGCACGAGGGGTGGGTGGGAGGCCATCCAACGAGCGTAACACCATGACATCCTCTTGGCGCCCACCGCGGAGTCCGGAGAGGCATGCAGTCCCGGGCAGTCAATAGACGCCTAACTCGGACGACGGGGGTCGGGGAGGAGGAGGGTGGCGCTGGTGAAAGAGGAGCAGGGATGGGAAGGGGTCGGTGGGAGAGTGCAAGATCGAAGGGGGGACATACGGGTGAAGGAAGGAGAAGGAGGGCGGAGAGGAGACATCATGAGAAGAGAGTGAAGTACCAGAAGTAGAAGGACGCTGATGCGAGACTGGGCATGGAGGCGCGACTCACTTCTGGAATGCAACCGCGGCGCTCTGCTCGGTCACCATCGCGTCGTCGTAGAAGTAGGTGAATCTGGGGGCAGATTTGGGCCGCAGATTCTGTTGATGGGTGCTGGTGCACTTCCAGTGGTTCCACAATTCGTGGGATCACATGGGGGGGATGACAAGCTAGAAGACAGCGAACCACGAGACGGAGGACGCGGAGGAGGGGAAAGAAAAGAAGGGTTGGGAGGAGCAGCACGAGGCGGCCGAGGAGGGCCTCGCCTTGATCTCGGGACTCATTGCTTGCTCTGAGTGGGACGCAGGGTGGATGGAATATTAATGGAGAGATCATGGATCATGATAAGAAAGGGGGGAGGTGATAGCCGACAAGATAGTGGATGAAGACAAGACGGATAAAGACACAGAGGAACGGGAACATCAGGATGGGGGAAACGAAGACACCAAGAAGAAAGGGCAGGGGCAAGGAACATTGTGATCAAAGATCTGAATGGGGGCTCGGCTGGAAAAATCATGATGGATAGGGTGACTTGGGGGATTAAGTACAGAACTTACACGCCGTGAGGGCGACTTACTAACAAGGGTAAAAGGAGGACGCGATAACGGATGACTGGATAAACCATAAGATTTGAAGACACGCGGGCATATGGATTTCCTTCGCGTTGGAGAGAACGAGACAGAGAGAGAGAGAGAGAGTGAGAAAGAGAGAGAGAGAGACAGAGAGAAAGAAACGGATATGCGACCTGGTACGCTTGTATTGAACTTCCTGGCAACAACGCTGGCCGCGCGAAGTTCGCCGAAGACGAGCCAGCGTGCTCCGAGTGATCTTCGTGCCGACAACGCTGGGGAAGAAATTTACGCTGGGATCGAACCGGCACGCGCGGAACGAGTTTCCTAGCGCCACCACTAGCAACGCGAAGTGCACCAGAAGACACCCTTGCATGATCGGAGTGGGATCCCTGCAACGCGGGAGAACCATGTGACCTGTCGACAACGCTCGCAACAAAAAGTGCCCCTGGAGCGAGCCTGGCAGCAACGCTGGCAGCAAATGGCAGCGCGAAGTGCACCACACGCAAGCCGACAAGCTCGTAATGAATTTCCTACCGCCGCCGATGACAGAGCGATGTGCGCCGGACGCGAGCTGGCACGCTCGAGTCTCCCACAACCAACACTGACAGCAACGTTGGCAAACACTTAGTGCCCGAGAACTGAGGCGGCGCACGCTTGGGATGAGATCCCTGCCGGTTGGGGCCTCGCGGCCGCGTCCACGAGTAAGCGCCTCGTGGGCACCCCCTGCGCTGCCATGCGCCTCCGAGCTTTCGCCTGGCAGCCGCCAGTGGGCGCCTCATGCGCTGGCTGGGCCTCTGAAATTTCGCTTGGCCGCCCGTGGATTACATAGCATGCACCGCAACACTTACACCACAGAACTTGCACCTCATATGTTCTCATGTCCAAGAGGGTATATTTACTCTACGCCCCCAGTTTCTCGCCTCACCCTGGGGTAACACAGTTTACATATGACACCCTGCCTCATCGTTCATTCTACGCATGACCAGATGCTATACAATTCCCTTATCGCCCCAGCCCTCATCCCTATCAAATTTCAATATGCGCGAACCCTCGATTATCACAAATCGGTGATCTCCTCCAAACATTTTGCAAGACACAAGACAATCTACACGCGCGCGCGCGTCGTGCGCGTGTGTGCTGGACTCCTTTAACAAACCTGTGGTTCCGTAAGGGCTCAAGATTAGAATTCAAAAAAAACACCGGGTGCCGGAACACGAGTTCAAACAAATCTGCGCGCGCGCGCTCTTGCGAACCCTCGGGGGAAACTCGAATAAATTCAAGAGTCGTCAAATGAGACCACGCCGTTTTCTCGCGGGCGCACGTCGAAACCATTCGAACGCCCTTGCGCGATTGCTGGGGGAACACGATCCCTGTCAAATTACACAATACGGGCCACTCGCGCGCGTCGGCCGCGCGCCAACTGTCGCATCCCTTCCCAGATCCATCAGCGACACTTGGATACCGTGATCGCCATCGGCATCGGCGTGATCAGCATCGGCGCCGTGATTGGCCTTGCTGTAGTCATCGTCGTCATCGTCACACGCATCGCTACTATCATCATCGTGTTCGCCGTTGTCGGCGTCACCATGATACCGCGCCCGCCCGAGACACCGATCCGCACTAAAGTGCCCGCGCGCCTGCGCGGCCTGTGAGACGCGCTGGTCAGTTCACATCGGTCAGCGCCACCGCGGTCGTCATCACCACCATCAGCGATCAACATTATCATCATCATCAGCATCAGCTTCAGCATCAGCATCATCAGCATCATCATCATCATCAGCAGCAGCAGAATCATCACTACCATCATCATTATCGTTCGAACCTGCCTTGACCCTGCTGAGCGAGCGGGTGGCGGTGCGGGTCGGGGGCCTGCTCGTCTCCTGCGGGGGGCTTGGCCTGTAGCCTAGCGGCTGGCGGCACTGCCTGGGCTGCCGGGTGCGCGCGGTCTGCAGGTGGAACAAGCTACCCTCTCCAGTCTCGCTCGTCATCGTCGTCTTCCAGCTTATCTTCCCTCCCTATCTCCCTCTCCCCTTCCTCCCTCCGTATCATGCCTCCTCCTTGTCATCTCTCCTCCTCGTCATCTCTCCTCCTCCTCCTCCTCCTCCTCCTTCTCCTCCTCCTCCTCCTCCTCCTCCTTCTCCTCCTCCTCCTCCTCCTCCTCCTATTCTCTCTCTCTCTCTCTCTCCCTCCAGGGGAGGCACGCAGCGCCAGCCGCGCCTGCCCGGCCCGCACGACGTCCACCCCGAGCGCGCGGGCCGGGGTCGGGCGGCCAGAGGTCGGGAGGCACGGCAGCGCAAGCAGGCGTCCCCCGCCCGTCCCCCGGGGCGCTGGCCCGCCGAGCCCGACCGCGTCGGCCCGTCGGCCCCTCGGGGCAGCGGCGCTCGCGGTGGGGCGGGCATGGCCTCGAGGGGCTTTGATAACCGCGTGGGCAATCCACTGAGCAGACCCTCCCTCTTCCTGCCCCTCCCCCCACTCCGTCTCCCCCTCCCACCCTTCTCCTTCCCACCTTCTCTCCACCACCGTCCCATCCTGCTCCTCAATCCCTCCTCCTCCCCCTCCTCCCCCCTCCTCATCTTCCCTCCTCCTCTTCCCTTCTGCTCCTCCCTGCTCCTCCCCCCTCTCACTGCCTCTCTCCCTCCTCCCCTCTCCCCTGCCCTTTCGCCTGCCCGCCCGTGGCAGCCTAACGGCACGGAAGAGGCCCCCCTGCTCCTGCAGATCGAGCAGGGCTCGCGCATGCAGCCGCGTGCCACGGAGCGGGCCGCGACTGGCGCCCGCGCGCTCGCTGGTCTGGCGGCCACAGAGCAGGGCGTGGTGCTCCAGCTCGCGCTGCGAGCAGCCCCGTGGCGCCTGCAGGCTGGCAGGAAACATGCAGGCGGCGTGGCAGCAGTGCCGACATCGATCTGGCCGCAGAGGCAAACGCCGAGGGTAACAGACGCCGCCGTCCAGTCCGTCACGGCAGAGGTCCAGGACGAAGCGGTGGTCGAGCACAGCACCCTTCGGCGGTGGACAAGCCTCCCTTTCGTAGACCTCTCCTTCGTGAGAACGGCCCCAGACCGAAACCGACGGACCCGGACCCGCAACAAGGACGGCCGCGACGCCCTCTCGCGAACCGAAAGCGGCCCATTCGCTAGTCGACGCGTCAGGGTAGGAGGTCCGCCCACCTCCGAGCCCTGAGGCCCGAGGCAGGGGCCGAGGTCCGCATTGCTCGCGGTGCCGCCGCGGCGCGGCAGGCGGGCACCGAAGGAACCCTCCTGGCGAAGGGGGGGGCTTCGCCGAGGGGCCCGCTCCGCCCAGGCAAGCCAGTGCCTGGCCCGGCGGGTCCAGGCTATGAAGGTGGCTTCCATCCGTACTGCGTGCGGCCAGGTTTGTGAGGAGCACGAGTGCAGATAGTGTCGCCCTTCTGACTCGAGCTCGAGCTCGTCGTCGAGTGCGCCCTTCCCAGCTCGCGCCGTGGTCGACGCAGCGGTCCAGGGGGCAGCAGCAAGTGAGGGTGCCCAGAAGCAGCGTGCGCGTGCGCGTGGACAAGTCCCCTCCTGTCTCCTGCTCGTCCTCACTCCTCCTCCTCCTCCTCCTCCTCCTCCTCCTCCTCCTCCTCCTCCTCCTCCTCCTCCTCCTCCTCCCCCGCCTCCTCCGTCTCGTTTTGGCTGCGCTGTGAAGACGTGCGTGCAGTCTTGGTTGCATGTATGTGCGCTCAACATCCTAGCATGCAGTTTGACGCGCTGGCGCATTGCAACGTGTACTTCGGTAGCTCGTCAGACTTCGTGTTGGCCACAATCATGTTGCTACCACGCCCCTCGGTGGGGGCTGGCCGATCGAAGCCACCAACTGGCAACACATGATTGACCGAAGGCGCCCACCACGGGTGCCACACTGCTGGAGCCCGCAAATCGCGCCTGGAACCGCCGCCGGGCAACGCACGTCGAGCCGCGAGCACCCACGGCGGCAGACGCGCCCGCAACTGCAACCACGCAGCACGCTTTGAGCCGCGGGCGCCCACAACAGCACCCGCCAGGCAGCACATTTCTGGCCGCGGTCGCCCGCAACAGAGCCCGCAACCGCGCTGGGGTCAGCGGAAAACCGTTCAGAACAGCTTCTGGAAGAGAGACATGTGGACATCCAGGAGGGCTCGTTCCCTAGCCACACCTTGGGATAGCCCCCCTCTGCGACTCCCCAACTCCTTCTCCTCCATGGCCTCCGCTTCCGCCCGGGCCTCTCTATCCGTGTTCGCCTTCTCCTCCTCCACGCGAAATTTGGCTTCCTCTCCTACCCCTGATCGCGTGCAAGTGGAAAGGATGAGCCATGGATAAACGGAGAGGCCCAGGAAACCGTAACGACACCGAGGAAGAGAGAAAGAGAGAGAGAGAGAGAGAACAACAAAAACAATGGCAATAAACAGATTGTGCTGGGAGACCCGCGGCGGCGAGCAGCGTGACGGCGAGGCGACGGCGCATCGACGACCAGGAGGCGGCGGGGAGGGGCAGGGGGGTGGGGGGGGGAAAGGCAGCGGCAGCTCCTCCCCCCCTCCTCCTCCGCACGGGCCCCCCCCTGCGCGTGCGCCGCCTGCCCCGTCCTCTCTCGCTCCTGCCCCCTGCTCCTCCTCCCTGTGACGCCTCCCCGTGCCCATGCTCCTCGGGGGCTGCGTGCGGGGTCTTCTCCTCTGGCGGGGCCCTCGGTGCCCCCGCGAGGGCCTGCGCGCCAGCCCCCCCCCCCCCGGCGGGCGGAGAGCGGCCCAATGCCTGCAGTAGAACCTGTACTGCTTCTCGACGCCGCCCGGACCTGGCGTGTCGCGCGCTCGGGGCGGCCACGCCGGCGCCTCCAGTTCGGAGCCACGCCGCGGGAAGGGCGTGGCGGCAGTGCCATGGGAGGCCTGCGCGGGCGGGATGGCGCCGGAGGAGGCTGGATTGAGCAAGACGCTTGGGTCGGGCTGAAGAGGGGTTGCGCCCCATGTAGAGCCAAGTCGAGCTGGTCGGAACCGGACGAAGTTGGATCAGGCCGGATATGCATCCACGACATCCCGGGGCCCATCCTCAAATAAATCTCCCAGGATATGCAATAGAAGCGTGCGGTACACATACTACGATGAGAAAGATTGAGGCGTACTCGTCGTCGATCTTTGAGGGTCCTACAGTGCCCCAGGGCTTCTGCGGGTCCCCGGGGTCATCGGGGAATCAGACCTTCTTGCGGGGCAACTGTTGACAGGCCGATCTCTTGCTTGGTGTGCCTACTGTGCATCCTGGGAGGGTCGAGCAAGGAGGAGAACGGAGAGCAGGCCGCCGCGGGCCTGCGCTCCTCAGATGAGTGGCAAGGATAGCGGGGGAATGGCAAAGGGGGGGCCATCGACTTGGAATCAGCGATACATCGCCGATGGGTCGGCGATAGGCCCCCGATGGGAAGTCCGCACGTTCCTGGGCGGGTGGGACAATCGGGCCCCTGTCGGCGATGAATGGGCGATTGGGGGCCGATGCATCCACCCCTAGGCCTTTCCCCCCTATCGTCGCCCCTGATCAGACGTGTGATCACGGGTGACAGGATTCGACAGGTCGGCCACCATGCCCTTAAATATTGCATCTCCGGGGTGCGCTGTCTGTACCATCGCGTCGTGTCCTGCGTCGAGTCCGCGCCGAGTCCACGTCGAGCCTGCGTTAACCTCGCGTCGCGGACAGAGAACACACCGCCAATCACACAGCCCAGACGCAAGAATCCCACTGAGGATGTAGGGAACAGCCCAGGCATCCCACACCGCAACTTTTCCACGACGTCGAACGTGGCTCCGCAGAGGTCTGCGCCACTTGCCCCAGGACTAGCTTTTTTCAGCCCGGGCCGATATTTGACGGTCCCCGGGGCCCAGTGCGGGCCGCGGGAGGCCGAATGTGACCAGCAACCGCTGGGCGTGATTCCTCCACGGCGCGAGGCTGTCAGCGTACACAGGAGGCTGTCCATCGCTCTGACGTCAATTCCCTGTGCTTTTGTCGGTTTCGTGTGTGGCTTTTTCGCCGAATGATCAAGGATGCTCCTCGACGGTCCTCGCCGAGGAAAAAATGCACACGTCCGAACGATGCCAAGGAGGCGGGGGAACACAACAGGGCGCTAAGAGGCCCGGGACCGCGCGGCCGCCTCGCAGCGAGCCGCCCCTGCCCTCCACCTCTTCCCCCCTCGCCGTGGCGTTCCGGCGCCGCCGTCGCAGCGGCGGAGGGACGGCGCAGGAGTATCCTCTCGCCGAAGTTGGCGTACTTCTTGTGGAAGTGCACGGCCTCGTCCATGGCGTACGCCTCCGGGGGAGGGCGACGGCACGAAAGACCCCCCACGCACGAGGCCTCCTCGTGCTTCGGCCACCTCGTGGCGCCACGGCAGCGTCTGCCGATGACGCCCTCTCCCCCTGCTCCCCCTGGACGAGGTCTCCTCTTGCTGCTGCCGAGTTCTGCCGTTTGCGGATCGACGAGGGCTGCTGCCGTTGATGCCTGGATGTGCCTGGCACTTTTTGGGGCGCCAGCCTCCAGAAGCCTCCGGCGGTCAGGGCGGGTGCAGCGCCGACCGCGGTAGGCATCCACCTGCTGCGATTTCAGGGAGGCACGGCAGGCAGGCATCCACTTGCTACTCGTCATCAGTCGCCTCCTCCCCATGGGCAGCAGCAGAGGATAACTGAGACCTCAGGGCTCCTGCCGACTGGCTTGCTCTGCTATTTCTCCAAAGAGAACCCCCCCCGCAGACAGCAATCCTGGAAGAGGCACTGGTCGCGGTGGATATGTTAGCAACAGCGCAAGACTGCGCAAGGAGCGGAACCAGACAATAAGGGAGGTGTCAACTCAAGCACAAACCTACCCGCCAAGAAAACAAGATGGGGGGTGGAAGGGGGACAACGAGAAAGGGGAGTCACCAAAAGACAAACGTCAGCAAAGAAAGGACGACCCGCGCGTGCGGTTGCCACTCCAAGAGGCGGTGCCCGCACAGATGTCTCACATGAGCCAGCGCATCAGATCAAGGTCGCCCGCCTAGACAGAAACCCGAACCAAAACTGCGAGCCCGAAGTGCCGCGACAGGTGTGCATACATGTGCATGTATGTGTGTCTGTCTGTCTGTATGTCTGTCTGTCTGTATGTCTGTCTGTCTGTCTGTCTGTCTGTCTGCCTGCCTGCCTGTCTGTCTGTCTGTCTGCCTGTTGGTCTGTCTGTCTGATTGCATGCCTTCATGCCTGCCTACCTGCCTTCCCGCATGCATGCATGCATGTAAGGTTGTATGCATGCGTGTATGTACACCGGTGCATACGTATATGTTTTAAAAGACGTATTTCCACACGAAAACTTACACATCTCATAGATGTGCACATACATTCAAACACACACACACATGTACACATGCAGATTCATTCATACATGTATTTATATACAAATATACTTACACGTCGTGCATTTCTAATCGTGTTCATTTCTAATTGCGCTCGTTTCAAAATGTTCCTGGCCCGCTAGTGGCCAGGAAGAGGCCCAGGACAGAACAATTGGAAATGAGAGGAGCCTGGCCCCCCCAAAAAACAAATAACCATCGAATACTTAGAAATTATCAGTGTGTACATATGCATATGCATACATGCATGTATATCTCTCTATATATATGAATAAATAGATACATACATATAGACATACAGAGAGAGGGGGGGGGGAAAGAACGATGGCAACGAGCCTCGAGGCACGAAGCGTCATGTGTTCTCTGCTGTTTCCTCTCAGGACTCTTGGGATTCTTTTAAAAGGGGCTGGGGCCCCAGGTTTCCGACCTTCCCTGGCACTCCTCGCGCGCTCTCGGGCATCCCCGCATGACTTGCCCAGAAGCCAAAAGGGCCCCAGGAAGCGCCCAAGAGGCCTCTACGACCGTCCAAGAACGCTCCGAGACGCCCACGATGTCCCAAAGACGGCCCAAGGGGCCACGAAGATACACCAAGAGCGCTCCAAGAGGACTCCCGTAAGGGCCCAAAGAAACAGAAACACACATCATTGATGTTATGTTGTTTCCCTGTGGTTCGCGTTCTCGCGGCTTCAAGATAGCCTCCAACACGGCCCAAGAGGCCTCCAAGACGTCCTCCAAGAAGGCCCGAAAGGGTCAAAATGGCCTCCAGACGGCCAAGATGACCTTCAAGATGCCCACGTGTTCCCCGAAGGCTTTCCAAACCGATTCGGGGAACACATGGTCCGATAGCTTGGCAGGTCTGGCCTCAACGTTCGGCCACATAGGCGCTTCCAAAAAGGCAGGGGGCGGCGGTGATTCGCCGTAGGCGTCTTAGATCCGCCGCCCCCTTTTGATTTATCAAAGGGGTGCCTGGCGTGCCAAACGATATGGCTTTTGGTGTTGGTTCTTTTTCCTCCAAAAAAACTCCCCCCTGGGGCTTCGTCACGTCCCGCCGGCCACCCGGAAGAGGTGGTGCAAACGGTTTTCCTGCCCCAGACGGCCCCAAGGTAGCCTCCAAGACGGCCAAGATGCCTCCAAGACGGCCAAGTTGGACTCCAAGACGGCTCAGATGGCCCCAAGATGCCTCAAAGACGGCCCAAGATGTACCCTAGACGGCCTAACATAGCCTGAAGATGGCCCAAGACGGCCCAAGATGCCCCCAAGAGGCCTCCAAGACGGCCCAAGAGGTCTCCAAGAGGTCTTCCAGGAAGGCCCGAAGAGGCAAATTCATTGATGTTCCTAAGGTTTTCGGCGAATGTTGACGTTTTGCTTCTTTTCGGCCTGCCGGCGGCCCAAGATGGCCCAAGAGGACCCGAAGATCGCCTCAAGATCGCCCACGAGGCCTCCAAGAGGGCCCCAGGACGACCCAAGAGGCCTCCAAGACGGCCCCAATAGGGCACAAAGACCACCCAAGAGGCCTCGAAGACGCCCAAGATGGCCTCTAAGACGGCCCTGGAGCACCCCAAGAGGGCCCCCAAGTCGGCCCAGAAAGGTCCCCCAAACGGCTTCCGACGGCGTCAGACGGGCCAGGAGCCCACCAAGATAGCCGAAGGTGGCTCGCAGCTGGCCTAAGACGGCCCAAGAGGCCTCCAAGAGGGCCTCCAGGAAGGCGAGAAAAGGCCCAAAAGAGTGATTGTCCTTAGGTGTTGGAAGAATTTACCGAACAGCTTTTGCTGATAGTTTTCTAGTGGACTCAAAAGAGAGCAGCAAATGACTCCACAGGGGGGTCGGGGCGGCATCCGGGGAGCTGTGTCCGAACTCGTGTCCGAATGCGCTTTTCGCAAACAGTCACACACTTCGTGCTCGTCGACCTCCCAGAACTGCATTCCCGGGCCACATTCTGAATGCCTAGACCAACTGTAAGCCACTTCGTGCTCTTCGACTTCCCAGAACTCCATTCCCGGGCCACATTTTGAATGCCCGGAGCCAACTGTAGGCCACTTCGTGCTCTTCGACTTCCCAGAACTCCATTCCCGGGCCACATTTTGAATGCCCGGAGCCAACTGTAGGCCACTTCGTGCTCTTCGACTTCCCAGAACTCCATTCCCGGGCCACATTTTGAATGCCCGGAGCCAACTGTAGGCCACTTCGTGCTCTTCGAGTTCCCAGAACACCATTCCCGGGCCACATTTTGAACGCCCGGAGCCAACTGTAGGCCACTTCGTGCTCTTCGAGTTCCCAGAACTCCATTCCCGGGCCACATTTTGAATGCCCGGAGCCAACTGTAGGCCACTTCGTGCTCTTCGAGCTCCCAGAACTTCATTCCCGAATGCCCAGAGCCAACTGTAGGCCACTTCGTGCTCTTCGAGTTCCCAGAACTCCATTCCCGGGCCACATTTTGAATGCCCGGAGCCAACTGAGGCTGAGGCAGGCTGCTGCTGAGGCAGGCTGAGGCTGAGGCTGAGGCAGGCTGAGGCTGAGGCAGGCTGAGGCTGAGGCTGAGGTTGAGGCTGAGGCTGAGGCAGGCTGAGGCAGACGCTGAGGCAGGCTGATGCTGAGGCAGGCTGAGGCTGAGGCTGAGGCTAAGGTTGAGGCTGAGGGCAGACTGAGGCTGAGGCTGAAGCAGGCTGAGGCTGAGGCTGAGGCAGGCTGAGGCTGAGGCTTAGGCAAGCTGATACTGAGGCAGACTGAGGCTGAGGCAGGCTGAGGCTGAGGCAGGCTGAGGCTGAGGCAGGCTGAGGCTGAGGCTGAGGCTGAGGCTGAGGCTGAGGCTGAGGCTGAGGATGAGGCAGGCTGAGGCAGACGCTGAGGCAGGCTGAAGCTGAGGCTGAGGCAGGCTGTGGCTGAGGCTGAGGCTGAGGCTGAGGCTGAGGCTGAGGCTGAGGCTGAGGCTGAGGCTGATGCAGGGTGAGGCTGAGGCAGGCTGAGGCTGAGGCTGAGGCGGAGGCTGAGGCTGTGGCTGTGGCTGAGGCTGAGGCTGAGCAGGCTGAGGCAGACGCTGAGGCAGGCTGGTGCTGAGGCAGGCTGAGGCTGAGGCTGAGGCTGATGCAGGCTGAGGCTGAGGCTGGCTGAGGCTGAGGCCGAGGCTGAAGGCAGACTGAGGCTGAGGTTGAAGCAGGCTGAGGCTGAGGCCGAGGCAGGCTGAGGCTGAGGCTGAGGCAGGCTGATGGCTGAGGCAGGCTGAGGCTGAGGCTGAGGCAGGCTGAGGCTGAGGCAGGCTGAGGCAGACGCTGAGGCAGGCTGATGCGGAGGCAGGCTGAGGCTGAGGCTGAGGCTGAGGCTGAGATGCAGGCTGAGGCTGAGGCAGGCTGAGGCTGAGGCCGAGGCTGAAGGCAGACTGAGGCTGAGGCTGAGGCTGAAGCAGGCTGAGGCTGAGGCTGAGGCAGGCTGAGGCTGAGGCTGAGGAAGGCTGATACTGAGGCAGGCTGAAGCTGAGGCTGTGACTGTGACTGCCGTTGCCACTGCGACTGTCATCGCGAATGCGACTGCGACTGCGAGAACAGGAGAATTCTACAACTGGATTCTCATCTGGATCTTAAGGGGAATGTTTCCATACATGCTTCTACACATCGCTGTTAGGTTGCTTTGCCGGGATAATTTGACATGTGCTTCGTTTCGGCCTTCCGACGGCCGGATACGGCCCAAGAGCCCTCAAAGATCGCCCAAAGATCGCCCAAGAGGCCTCCAAGATGGCCCCAGAACGGCCCAAGAGGCGCCCAAGACGGCCCCCAAGAGGCCCCCAAGACGGCCGAAGAGGCCTCCAAGACGCTAGAGATGGCCTCCAAGACGGCCCAAGAGGCCTCCAAGACGTCCTCCAAGAAGGCCCGAAAGGGTCAGAATAGCCTCCAGACGGCCAAGATGACCTTCAAGATGCCCACGTGTTCCCCGAAGGCTT